CTGGGATTCACAGTATCTATAGAGTTGCACAGGTTATAAGGCTATACAACATTTACAAAGTGCTTTCCATGACTGAATCTTGAATTGTGCTGCATTATCACTAAAATCTAAAATCATATCATATTATTTAGTTACATTACTTTAAAAACGTATTTACATTCGCAAACTATTAATTATTCTCTGAGAAATCAACAAAACAATTTAAAAATCTCGCAATGTTCCTCCTGGATTCATCCCCTGATCTGGGTCCACACCAATACTGAATGGGGTCTTCTTTTGCATCGGGACGTCTTTGCGTATTCTTGCTTATCTACAAACAAAAAACACACATTTTATTACATCTACCCCTGAGAGCAGGTTTTCACCCGTGTAAAGAAACAAGCTGATGTTTCTTTTAAAGCAGGATTTCCCAAAAACTGCTTTTACTTACTACAACTAACGGCTTTCAACTAAAGTTGGTGGAAGATGAGACATCAGAATAGAAAGAACTCAAAATGTTTTGGCTCAGGTTGAAACAAAGAGGAAGACTCAGGAGTTTGTTTGAAATGTCTTTAAAAATGCGAGTTAGGGTGTTTTTTGGACATTTTCACAGATCTGCTCGGGAATAGTTTGTGGATATTGATGAAAAACACGGTTTGACATGGAAAGTAAAAGTATTTGCCTCGTGGAGAAGAGATAATCGACCCTTAGACGTGCCGTGAATATATTGCAAACATACATAGTGCTTATCTGAATCATTTGCTTATCACTGGTCATACTGGTGCATTTTCAATGAGAGCAACTCTTTAAAATTCCACCCCGGACGGCATTTGTGCAACAGAAAATCAATTTACATTTTTATTAAGTGGTGCTTGATTGAAAATGGCAACGCTTCCTTTGAATCACAGTCACAGACTCTCCAACCAAGGGTCAGCAGCTACCAGAACAAAAACACACACAGAGATATTTCACCGAGGTGAAAATACCTCGGCAAACATTTCCTCCTCTTAGAGAAACACCGGTTGGCTTTCATCAGCCATCATACATGTGTTAGAGTGGATGAGACAGAGTGTGGCGAGGGGAAAGTGTGCACCTCTCATTTGTTTAATGTTGGTGCAATGGTGGAGAAAATGGCTGAATAATACATGACAAGATGTTTTAATTAGCAGGCGACGAGGGGCAGTGTGTAATTAAAACAGAGTTGTGGTAGGAAAAGGTCAGAGGCTGGTGCTGCGGCTCGGAGGAAGGAAGTGATCCGCAGGGGGAAGAAAACATTTAATGTTTTCAAGTCTCTCAACATCTCTCCTTGAGTCTTTATAAAAAATTCTGAGTCTGTTTTAAATGGTGCCATCAAAAAGTAATGTCCACAGCGTTGCACAAGGTTTCGCTAATGGTCCATTGTTCAAATGCGAGAATGAGATCCAACATTCACAAGAATAACATCTCAGGAAAGAGTCTGACCTATGAAAGACATCAAATATCTTGATGATGATGAATGAAAATATTAAAACACATCATAAAATGAATTTCTATAAATATAATATCAAGGTGTTAGTTTGAATATCTTCTGTTGATAGAGGGTAACGAGGTTAATGGTATTTCATTAAATCACATCCTGAGAGATTACCGGGGCAATGCTTTCCTCACGCTTCACCTCGGCCATTAAAATGACCAAATTTTGGTTAATTATTTTTGCGCACTGAGAGAAAAGCTTTTTTAAAACATCATTACTCTCACACTGTATATATTTTTAACGCGTCTATTTTTCACCCTCTGTCTGAAAATCCTCCTTAAAAATCTCCTTTGATTGGTTCCTAACCCGGAAATGTACCAGGAATGCAAACGTCACTTCAGAAGCAGCGTTTTCTGAGCAGTAGGATTCTCCTCTTCAGAGATTTCTGCCTTTGGTACCTAAGGAGATTTTTTACGTGCACAAAAAATCTGCAGCGGACACTAAAGTAAAGGGAAACTCAAATAAGGAAACTTTAATGATTCTCCTCAGCCTTTTTAAAAATGAACAAAATACTTTATTTCAACTAACACCGAGGGGATGTTGGAGATTGAGGCTCGTTGTTAACGCACATCACTTCACGAACAAATGTTTTAAAACACCTCCTCATTAACTATACATGTTAAAGTGGAGGAGTGGGAAACAGCTGAAACCTTGTCAGATTTTATTAAATCACGTACAAGCTGCGGTAACTTACGTACGCAGAGTTTGAAAAAAACTCTCAAACCGGCCTTTGACTATTCCCGGCCCGAGGAGCTCAGAAGCTGCCGTGACTGTAACTTGTTCCGACACTGTGACGGGAAGGAGCTCGGGAACAAAGCTCGACACCACGAGGCCTCCCGTTCTCCCATAAGACATATTGCTCACTCGCCCTCGCACACATACACAAACACCACGGTGGGGGGGGGGACTCCTCACGCACCCCACACTGAAATCACTGAAATCTCTCCCCCAGCACCTCCACTGCCTGAGTTATTACCTGTTTCCATTATATCTCTCACGCAGGGGCCAATAAAGCTTCGAATCAGCTTATGAGAGCTGAACATCTCAACCTTCATTATTAAGACGTCTATTACTGTGAGGAGAAGCACAAAACACCAAGAGTTGACACCACTGACAAAGTGGAGGACAAAACGAAAAGCAAAATGAACTACTTCCGAGGGAAACAGATGGGGAGAGGAGAGCAAATGAAAGGGAAATGAAATGAGATATCCTCATGCGAGGGGACAAGTGGTGAGACGTCAGCAGGCAGCAGATTGTCGCTGCGGCTGTGGAAGTTTATCGGTGCACCCACAGCGACCGGACGTGGTGTTTATAAGATGTGAAAGGAGGCTACTGTTATTCATGTGTGATTCCTGACCCCAGAGACCAGGGGAGGTCAAGTGTACACACACACACACACACATGCAGCACTGTCACAAGTCCACTGGGTATTTATTACTTTCTACTTTCTAAAAAAGTTTGTTTCTTCTCCGTGTGAAATGTTAGTAACCGTTAAATTTCACACACGCATGCACTTCAGCCTGTGCACACTGAATTTAAGAGTTCCAGCGTGTGTGTGTGTGTGTGTGTGTGTGTGTGTGTGTGACAGTCCTGGTGAGCTAACAGGAAAAATCCCTCAACTGTTGCCCTGAGAGAACATGTGAAGGCAAAAAGAAATCTCACACTGTGCTCGTCCTGGCTTCATTTTTACCTGCAGCGTGGACAGAGTCAGTCGTTGGCTCTGTGCTGCTCCACTACATTTTGATGGGTTTGTTTGCTCCAGGCGAGACTTTTTCAACACGCCACAAAGCAGAATGGTGCTTTGAAGGAAGGACGGCAGGGACTGGGATGAACAGACGGCTTCTGTGAATCAGAGGGAGCACAGCAGAGATAAGACCAAGATTTGTTTTAATAAAAAAAAAAATCTAATTATAGTCCAAAGTGGAGAAGATTTGAATTCAAATGCTTTTTTCAGATATAAAAGCGAATGATTTGCTGGTGCCTGAAGAAAAAAGTGGGAATATTTTAAGTGAGGTCTGATTGTGATGATTTAAAGTTTTCTGTGGGTACTAGATAAATCCAGGTTTCACTCACGTATAAAAAGGAAATAATACATGACCTTAAGGTTGTTTTTTTCCCCACCTAATCAAGATATATACATTTGCATAAAACTAACGTTAGGTCAGAGAATTCCTCAATATTTTAGTTTTTGAACAGACACATACACTTCATGCTTGTGGAGTTCACTATTCCTGCAGCGGGATGGTGAGGAACAAACTTTACATTTATATTAAAACATGCGTGAGTGGTAAGAACACTGAAACTGAAAAA